TGTGTTACCATAACTTAAGTATATTTCGACAGTTCTGCATAACTTAGGCTAAATATAAAGCAATCTCAGAATCATACACAATGTAGCATGAAGATCCAACTAACTCAAGATTTGCCTACATAAATAGTCATGAATTCAATCATGTAATTGACAGAATTACAGAGATATATTAAAGAGGTAAGAATAGATTCAATAGTCATAAGCTAATGCATCACTACCATAACAATAATCTAATTCTCAACACTTAATAGGATCATGCTCTATTGGATTCTAAGTTATTGAATGAACCAATATAGAACGGTAAAATAATGTTTAGAACAGATTAGTGTAACAGTCATGACAGTATTAATAGAACATAAGAGTGAGGTTTGGAACTAGATATTAAGAACATCAAGAAGTCATTTCAGAGTTAACGATAGACATGAATCAACATATACATATCAGTATCAGCATTAAAATATTTTTTAAGAAGTTCATGGTTGCCAAATCTACCTATCAGTCATTAACAAGCACATAAATAGCTAAAAGGAATGAACACATTATCAATAAGATCAGTCAACATAAATAATAAAGCATTTCATATTCAAGGATTTAAAATAGTAAAAGAAGAACAAGTTCGAGGTTTTACTGACCTCCTTTGGGGAAGCAAACGAAACGAGTGTTCAAATTAGCCTTTAGGAAGCCAAGAGCTGAAGCTCTTAATTAGTAATACACTCGGAGTCAGAGAGACAAAAGAGCCGAAAATTGACCAAGAACTCAACTTAATCAAAATTTTCCTAAGCTCTATATTACGCATTAACTTCTCAGACGTTATGTGTAGCTATTAGGTGTATCTTGTTGTGTGTTAGGTGAAGGCATTAAAAGCCCCAATTTTATAGTGGATGTAAGCCTTAGGGTTTCATATTCAAATCAATAGTTAAATATGACGAAGGATAGATGATGATAGTAGAGAGGGTGAAATTAGAGTGAATCAGGGTGAATTAGAGAAAAAATGAGTGAGACTCTTACCTGAGTGTGTGACGGCCATTACAAGTGAAGATCCATCGGATAACGACCAGAGGTCCAGAGGTCATTGCACTTGACTTCCAGTTTAGAATAATCATTATGAGGAGCTCATGCGTGCTCTAATTTCACCGCAACATCAGAAGATTTGAAGACTGAAGTTTTATGTTTGTGTTTGGGTAAGAGAACTCGAGATTTTGATTCTGTAAGACGAAACGGGAAAGCAACGACGAGAATCGCGGATAGGGAAGCATAAGGAATAATTCTAAGTCAATATTTGTGACCTTGTACAAATTTGTGCAAGGTCTGTGGTTGATTCATTAATGGCAGGTCGAGAGAGTTTAGAGAGAAAAGGGAAATAGAGGTGGCAGAGTCAATAGCGAAATGATTTTATTGTTTTAGGGAGGGGCTAGTTGTCTCTAGGGATAAGAATGAGAGATGGAATGTGAGCCATTGGATCATTTAATCAACAACTTCGATTACTTTGAGACTTGGGCATTTTAAAAATAATTTATGGAAAAACTTTGATGGGCGTTGGATTGTTGGAATGGACGACCCAAATGGTTTTTGTTTCTTTTGTGAGAGATTGGGACGGATGATGTGGCGAGGTCTGATTGGTTTAATGGGAGTGGCATAGATTGCCAAAGTGGAGAGGGAGGGGTTGTTTGGAGTGGGTATTTTCGGATTTGGGCTTGTCATTTGGGCCAAATAAATTTAAGAGATAGCCATTTTGTATTAAATAGAGAATTACAATTATAGCCTTTAGCTATTTTTAATCCCTTTTGAAATCAAATTACATAAACTTAATTATTTTTAATAAAATATAGTAAAATCATAATTATCATATACACTACTAATTATTGCAAAATAATTAATTATAAAATACTATGTTTTCCAAATCTTAATCACTAATTTCGAATTGTTAACATAGTAATTTAATTAATTAGAAATTAAGGAGTAATTAATTATAAAGCCTATGTGATGTTCATAAAAGTTATTTTAATAATCTTAAAATAGTAAGAATGATATATTTTGTAATTATAATACTAAATTATCAATTTCAAAATTACTAGTACAAAATTAATTTTTTAAAATAGATATTATTTATTGAAAAGTATATTCAAAATATTCATTGTAAATTATTAAGTATAAATTAATTAATTTTGAAAGGGAGGGTCAAAATTGGCCGTCAAACGAGAACCCTAGGGAGGCGACTAGCAATTTCAAGGCAACTCACGAGAGCTTCCCTCCCATGGCTGTTCTGGCCACTGGCCAGCCTCTTGATGGAGCTGATCAGTCGTCTACACCTCCCCTACTAACCACTACATGCATTACACCCAAAAATCCAATCCAAAACTATGCAAACCTGTTACAACCAAAAATATTAAATATGCCCATGCAAACCCTAGTCGTTGTTCCCATGAAACCAGTAGAATATTTACATGGGGGACCCATTATACGATGGAAAAAGACAGAAGTGAAGCAGTCACTCGTGAAACAGGGCTTGAAATTGGAAGTTCTAGGCAAGTTTTCTTATGGCAAGCCTGTGATCAACAAGTTGCGTAAAGTTATCCCAATTCAATGCGAGTTGAAAGGCGCCTGTTCTATAGGGCTTATTGAGGATAACCATGTGCTAATCAAGCTGTCACTTATGGAGGATTATGTTCACCTACTGTCGAAACTAGTTTTGTACGTAAAGGCACAAGGAGAGATGTGGCAAATGCGATGTACAAAGTTGAACCCTTGGTGGAAACCAGATGAAGAGACAACAATAGCAATTGCATGGATTAGTTTCCCTGAGCTGTCACCTAAATTTTTTGGCAAGGAGTTCGTAGTTTCATTAGCTAGAGTTGTTTGTAATCAACTTCATGTTGATTTAGCTACACAAATGGGACTAGACCTAGTTGTGCCAAAGTAAAAGTTGAGGTAAATCTGATTGCCAAATTCCCTCAAAGAATTAAAATTGCGGAAGAAGAAGATGAAACTGGGCCGGAGGAATCCAAGTGGATTAAAATTAAATATGATTATCTCCCAAAATAATGTAAGACATACAAGAAACAAGGGCACAATAAAGTAGAATGTTGGGCCATTCATCCAGAATTACATAGAAGGTTTGAGGATGCTGGTGAAGTTCAAGGGAGTGATAAGGAAATAGTTGGTACTGCAGCTGCTACCACTAATGTTCTTACAAGTGGTAAAGTTCTGGGAAAGCCTATTACAAATCTTGCCAAACAAGAATGGATGCAAAGGAGAAAGAATATGTATCAAAGGGATAATAGGGGTTACATAATTGAGGATGCAAAGGATCAAGAAGCTGACAATGGAAAGGGAAAGAACAAGGTGAAAATATTTACAACAAAAGAACAAATTTGATACACTTGAAATTGAGGAAGTTGATCCACCGGTATTATAAATTACAAGTGGTAAAGATTTTGGAAAGTCAAAAGAGAAAGATAAGCAACAAAAGCTAAACAAGTCCAACAAGGAGAAGGAGAAGAAAAAGCTGGAAAATTCAAAGAAATCCATTCCAAGTCCTAAAGGAATTGGGATTACTAATTCTGAGGCTAAGGAAAGTGCTACAGGGAGTGGGGTGGAGATACAAAAGGAAAGAACTGTTGATTGGGTGCATAGAAGATTTGGTGCCCAACTAAGGCTATTAATGTGACAACTAATTGTTCTGATCAATACATTCCCTCTCAAACGATGGGAAGTGACCTTAGGGCAGCTGTTTCAATTGGATCTAAAACCACTGGTTCTATGTTATGGAATGACAAAGTAGAGCTAATGGAGGAAAATACTAGAGTTACTTATGAAGATAATGTCAATTCTCAAAGGGTGAATATGCAGGCTATAGTACAAGCTGGAGTAGATAAAGGAGTGCCAAAAGATGTAGGAAAAGTTGGAGGAACAAGTGCAACAATGACACCTAAGATGCAGGGCAATGGAACAGTAAATCCTAGTGCAACTGGGGAGGTTATTCCCAATGTTGAATGTGTTCCGGTGGATATTTTAGCTAGGGAACAGGTTGGTAATGTTGATGCAAAGGTTTTACAAGATACAATGAGGTCAGACATTGAAACAGTGGGTGACAAGCCCCTTGATCCCAATGGAACATTAACTTCTGCAAATAGAGCTATAGTGAACTCTAGTCTAGAATCCATATATGAGTTGCAAGTCACGATGTTGCAGCAATCTTTGGGAACTGAAGATCAAAATGCCATTGTATTGAAGGAGACAAATGGAGATGAATCTCACCATGACATGGTACCTCATCAAGCAGGTGTAATTGAGCCAAGTCCCATGGCTTGTGCTTCTGGAGCTGGGCTGCCATTGCACATTCAGCTCAACATTCCTTTGACGCCTCTAATGCAAGTTTTGCATGACATTGTATCACGCGATGTTACGCCTATGGAGATTCAGCAGGCAATAGATGATCAAGAGCAAGTTGAAGAATAAGGTGATGAATCAATAACTACAAATTTTAAGGTAGTATCAAGGGAAGCATATTTATCTCCTAGGGCTGGAGATAAGAGTGGTAAAAAGGGAAGGAAACAAGGTCAAAACAAAGAGGTTCCTCAACCTAAAAGAATCTTGCCTAGAAGGGCAACTACACAAACTAAATGATGATTAAGACTCTAATTTGGAACATAACGCCTGTGAAAACACAACAGGCCTTTCAGAGGGTAATCAATATGCAAAGAGAGCATGGTTTTTTCATTGTTGGATTGATGGAACCTTTTCAAAATTTTAGACATATTCAGAGATACAGAAGAAGGTTAGGAATGGATGCTATGATGTCAAATATTAATGGTAAATTTTGGTTGTTCTTTGATATTATGATTGAATGGGAGGTGCTACTAGACACTAAACAACAAGTTACTATTAGAGTGTATCATCAGGACATTGGCAAACACATTATGATGATATTTGTGTATGCTAAATGTTCATCCTTAAAAAGGCTTGAATTGTGGGATAAGTTTTACTACTTATTAAGTGATATGGAGTTACCTTGGGTTGTTGGAGGAGATTTTAATATTATAATGCATGAGGATGAGAAGATAAGTGTCTTACTTGTGTATCCACCTGAGTATGAAGACTTTGCATTCTGTGTAAACTCTTGTGGATTATTTGATCTTGGATACAAAGGCATCCCTTTCACTTGGTGGAATGGTAGACCAAACTCAGAAAGCATATTCAAAAGGTTGGACAGAATATTTGTTAACCTTCCCTTTCAGAATCTTTTCCCAAATATTGAAGTGGAGCATCTTATTAGGACAAGTTCTGATCATGCCCCTTTATTGATATGTTGTGGGGAAGAAGCTATGCTGTTTGTTAAGCCTTTTAAGTTCCTTAACTTTTGGATTAAGCATGAGACCTTCAAAGATGTGGTAAGGCAGAATTAGGTGGCAGACTTCATTAGTGATCCATTTTTGATGTTCAAACAGAAGCTAAAGTGGGTGAAAGCTGCTCTATCCCAATGGAGTAAGCTCACATATGGAGACATCTTTACACAATTAGCCATTAGAGAGGATATTGTCAGGGTGAAGGAGATGTTATTTGAAGATGAACCAAATATTCAAAATAGAATTATGCTCCAAAAGGCACAAGCTGAATTGAAGAAATATCACAGCATTGAGGAACAGTATTGGAAGCAAAACGCAGGCATAAAATGGTTTGCTGAAGGTGTTAGAAACACAAGGTTTTTTCACAACCATGTGAATGGCAAGAGGCAGAGGCTGCAACTCAAAAGAATTCAGAATGGAGATGGTGTTTGGTTGGAATCTCAAGATCTTATGGCTGATGATGCAGTAGATTTTTTCCAAAGACAGTTCACATAGGAAGGAGATATTACAAGCTTTGAGTTACTTGATAATGTGCCCAATATGGTGACTATGGATCAGAAATTGGAGCTTTGCAAATTTCTTACCATTAAAGAAGTTAAGGGAGCAATATTTGCATTGAGTGGAGATAGTGCCAGTGGTCCTGATGGCTTTACTAGAGTATTTTATCAGCACTGTTGGGACACTGTATGGGAGGACATATTCAAGCTACTAAAAGAGTTCTATGGAGGTGCATCATTGCCAAAATTAGTCACTCATACTAACCTTGTGCTGCTGCTTAAGAAACCCCAGGTTCAAACGTTTTCAGACATAAGGCTTATAAGTCTAAGCAACATCATCAATAAGGTAATCTCTAGGGTGTTACACGATAGGTTGGAAAAGATCCTTCCTTCTTTGATAACCCCTAACCAATCTGGATTTTTGAAAGGAAGGAGTATATTTGAGAATATTTTGCTCACACAGGAAATTGTCACTGACATAAGATTGAGAGGAAAGCCTGCTAATGTTGTGATAAAGCTTGACATGGCCAAGGTTTATGATAGGGTGTCTTGGAAATATCTAATGCATGTTTGAGGAAAATAGGGTTTGCTGAGCATTTTATCAACATGATATGGAACCTATTGGCAAACAATTGGTACTTAGTACTAATCAATAGGCAAGCTTCAGGATTTTTCAAGTCCAGTAGAGGGGTGAAACAAGGAGATCCTCTGTCTCCAGCATTGTTCATTTTTTCTACAAAGGTGCTATCAAGGTCACTGAATAAGTTGTTTGGGAATAAGAGATTTATAGGATTTGGAATGCCAAAGTGGACTGATCCATTAAACCACTTGGCTTATGCTGATGATACAAAAAAATTTGCTTCTGCTGATCCTTACTCATTAGGGAAAGTAGTTGAAGTGCTCACAATGTATGAACAAATTTTCGGCCAGCTGATTAACAAGACAAAGAGCTCTTACTATATGCATACAAAGGTGGCAAGGAACTTAGTTGACTCTGTTGGTGCTATTAATGGATTTCAAAAAGGTAAGTTCCTATTTACTTACCTAGGGTGTTCAAAGTTTTACACAAGGAGGAGGAAGTAATACTATAATGATCTCATTGAGAAGGTGAAGGCAAAACTACACTCTTGGAAAGGGAAACTACTGTCTTTTGAAGGCAAAGATACTCTTATAACTAGTGTGCTTCAAAGTTTACCAAAACACATTTTGTCAGTGTTGGATCCCCCTAATAATATGCTTGAACATTTACAAAAGATATTTGCTAGATATTTCTGGACTTACTAAGGAAGAAGGCAGAAGTAGGCACTGGACCAAATGGCTAAATTTGTGTCTTCCTAAGGTGGAAGGAGGATTAGGATTCAAATCTCTATTTGATGTATCCAAAGCCTTATTTGCCAAATTGTAGTGGAGATGTAGGACCTCTAAATCATTATGGTCGAACTTCATATGGAACAAATATTGCACGAAGGAGATGCCTATTGTTGTGCAATTTAGACAAGGATCCCATGTGTGGAGAAAAATGCTAGAGGCAAGAGAGAATGTAGAACATGAAATTTCGTGGGAAATGAATAGGGGTTCTACTAATGTTTGGCATGAGAATTGGACTGGCCTTGGTGCATTGTATCATGTAGTACCCCCAGAGTTCAATGTTAATGAAGATCTACAGGAGGTGGTAGAATTGAGAGATGAGGATGAGTGGAATGATCAGATTTTGGAGCAGAACTTCCCAGAAGACATTGCCGAGCATATAAGGCAAGAGGTGTACTTTGATAACTCTGATAAATACTAGGATACACCTAAATAGATGCCAACACCTTCAGGCAAGTTTACAGTAAGCAGTAATTAGCAAATATTGAGGCATACAGCTCCTCCAAATCCAGAATACATGCTGCTATGGACAAAAGGATTACCATTCAAGATATCCTTCTTCTTATGGAGACTATGGAAAGGGAGGGTGCCATCGGATGATTTATGGAGAAGGGGTGGATATTTAACCGTCTCTAAGTGTTGGTGCTTCCTACCACTACAAGAGGAAACTTTTCAGCATATATTTCTTACAAGTGATATCGCTACCAAGGTGTGGAAGTTGTTCTTACAAGTTGCAGGACTGGTGGTGAACTTGGTGCTAATTCATCAGGTTATTAGAGCATGGTGGAGTGCAGATTGCTGTGCTAAACTCAATCCATTGTTCCAAGCAGCTCCAGCCATTATTAATTATGAGCTTTGGAAAAAAAGGAATACAATGAAACATGAAGGAGGTGCAATATCTTTTCATAGGGTAGTGCATAAGGTAAACAAAACACTACACTATCTTTCTAGAGCTAGATATCCTTGATTGTCTAACATTCCTTTACTTTGGCCATATATGGTAAGATTCTTTGAAGAATAATTCGTACATTGTTACTAAAAGAATTACATGGCAGATGCTTTATGCATGGTGGTTTAAATGCAACACTGATGGTGCTTCTAAGGGTAATCCCGGACCAAGTTCATATGGATTTTATGTGAGGAATGATGCTGGGGATGTGGTATATGCAAAGGCAGAAGAGATATGGTGGTCAACCAATATTGTAGCTTAGGCAAAGGCAATTATTGAAGGACTTTCGTATTGTATGGATAGACAATTTTATCCTATTATCATTGAGATAGACTCATTGGTGATGAAGAAGATTATAGATTGAGAATGGGATGCACCTTGGAGTATAGGGAAGGAAGTGAAGAGGATTAAGGAGATGAAGAACCAATTCAATGTGATCTTTCAACATGTGTTAAGGGAGGGCAATGTAGTAGCAGATTTTTTAGCTAACCTTGTATTTTCTTTTCCAGGTACATTAATATTCCAATAATTTACTGAGCTGCCTACTGCAGGAAGGAAACTAATCAATTTAGACAAGGCTCAAATTCCTAATCCTAGGATTAGAGTTGGAAAACGAAAAGCCCCAGATTGATGTGTGAAATTATACCTATAATGCCTGCTTATGTGTGCTCTTATGTTTGTTATATTCACATAAGGTTGAACTACTATCCAGTGGTATTAGCATGGTTTCATGCTCAGACTGAAAGTGGTTGGACACTGTGTGGAATCACTATTGCAAGCAGGCAGCTCTTTAGGCTTTATGTGTTGCTGCAAAGAAAAATACCATATGTGATCATGTGTTTGATTATTTCTAGTAACGGGGTGGAGTACTTAATCTGCTGGATAGTGGATGGTTTTTTGACTATCTGTTTTGGATAGCTTATGTACCATATGGTGTTGTATCATTTCTAATTGGTATTAACATTTGTAACGACCCAACCGGTTATTTTGAGCATTTGCACTTCGCTCGATATTTTACGAGAGTGAGTAGCTCCGTATGATGTATTTTGATTTGTGTGAATCATCAGTTTTGGTTTTCAGGTTATTCGGGACTGATTTGGAAGAATGATTCTCAACTAGGATGCTTTAAATTTGAAAGAGTTGACCAAGTTTGACTTTTTAGCATTTAACCTCGGATTGGAATTTTGATGGTTCCGTTAGCCTCGTTGGGTGATTTTGGACTTAGGAGCGCACTCGGATTGTGATTTGGAGGTCCACGGTTGAATTTGGCTCGAAATGGCGAAACTTAAAATTTTGGAATGTTTGATCGGGAATGGACTTTTTGATATCGGGGTCAGATTTCGATACCGGAAGTTGGAACAGGCCTGTAATGTCAAATGTGATTTGTGTGCAAAATTTAAGGTCAATCGGACGTGATTTGATAGGTTTCGGCATCAGTTGTGGAAGCGTGAAGTTTCAAAGTTCATTAATTTCGAATTGAGGTGTGATTCATCATTTCAATGTTGTTATGTGTGTTTTGAGGCCTCGAGTAGGTCCGTATTATGTTAGAGGACTTGTTAGTATGTTTGGACGTGGTCCCGAGGGGCTCAGGCGTATTTCAGATTGATTTCGGATAATTTCCCTTCATGTTTGCACTGCTGTGTCCTGCTGGTTTCTGGTGTCTCAGTCCTTCATTCGTTCGCATGGCAAGTGTCGCAAACGTGTAGTGTATTCTGATGGCAGCAACAAATCGTTCTTCGTGATAGCGAAGTATGTCTCGCGTTCGCGTAGATTTGGGGCAAGTCCTCTTCGAATTCGCGTATGGAGGATCGTGTTTGCGTAGTGTTGAGGTTGGCAGCTGGTAATTTGAGCATACTTCTATGCGATCGCGTATGGTTAGTCATGTTCGGGAAGCTTTAGCAGCAGTATTCATTGCGTTCGCGTGGAGTCCATCGCGAATGCGTAGAGTCTTTTGTGGCAGTGTGAGTTTTATTTATCGCGAAACGCAATAGTTTTCACGTGTTCGCGAAAGAGGACGTCCGGGCAGTGTATATAGTACTCTATTTCAAAGGTTTCAGACATTTTTACATTTTGGGAGCTAGGGAGTTCGGATTGAGGTGATTCTTGGAGCAATTTTCATCACAAGGATTGGGGTAAGTGTTCTCTACTCGGTTTTGGTTATATTTCATGAATTTACCTTCGTTTTTGGTAATTGGATTGTGAATTTTAAAGAGGAAAATGGGGGTTTTGGCCTAAAGTTTCATAATGTGAATTTATGAGTTTTGAACATCTAATTGGAGTCAGATTTGAGTAAAACAAGTATAGTTGGACTCGTAATTGAATGGGTCGTGACAAGTTGGTATCAGAGCTCTAGGTTCATAGGTTCTACAAGTCATGAGCAAGTGTCTAATAGAGTCTTGCGGATCGGTATGATGACGTCCATACCTATCTTCGAGAGGCTACAGGACATTTAGGATATACTTCCCATCTTTCTTTCCTTATCGTGCGGCATTGATTCAGCTTGAAGTGTAACCCTTTGAATTCCTTCCACACATTCATATGCGCACACGAGCGCTCGGTATCAGTTGTGCAACGCCGGCTTGTGATTCCATGGTTAAGGTGCGAGATGTGATTTTGGCATGCTGATGATGGGCCAGTCTGGAGGACTTTAGGCTGGGTTTTGATGGTAGCCTGAGCACGGA